CCCATCACCAGGATGCATGCGGGGTGCTGGATGGAGGAAGCCTGGTGCTGCTCCAGCCTGGCCATGCAGTGGCCTGCGCTGTCACTGAACCAGGGAACTGGGAGCGCTGGGGCGGGGAAGCAGCCTCGTGTCGCCCCCCTGGACCACCAAAGCCACCCTTGCCCCTCCTGCAGCAGAGATGACACCCCCCCCCAGCTCCACTGTCATGGGGGACCCAGTGTCCAGCGGGGTTGTGATGGTGGCTGCGCCATCCCCTCCCAGTGGCACCGTCCTTGTCCCTGGTGCCAGAGGAGGCAGCCGCTGACCGTCCCTTGCGCCCAGCAGCTCCCCTGGGAACGGTTTGGTGTCTGCTCTGGGCACCCCGCAGGGCTCCCTCCCGTTTGTCACCCGTTTGTCACCATCACCAGGCTGGGTTCAGCTCTGGTCCTGCTCAGCGTGTGCCAGCAGCCAGTGGGGATCGTCACAGCACCCAGAACAGGTCCCCAAAGCGCCTACCGGGAGCCTTCACACCCAGCACCGGCCTTGGGCTTAAAACTCTGTGACATGCTATTTGTATGCAAATAACTCTGCAAATGCAGAAGTCCAAAATATCATTTTAAAGTCACGTGTAATTAAGTTTGCAATGCATTTCCCAGTTCTTGCAGCTCTGGGGATCCCACCGTTCCTGTAAAGATGAATGCCTGGGTGACTTTTCCCCTCGCGTGGGCTCGCTGGTGATTTATTTATCTGTTGGGCTGCATTTCATTGACTCAGCAGTCTCAGCCGTTCAGGAGCAGCAGACACCGGGAGTCCATTTAAAAAACAACAACTCTTGTTGTCTCATTTTGGTAATTTACTATGCAGAGATTCAGTGTTTTTCATAATTGATTAGGACCTGTAATTTCATTTTTTGAATACATGGACCTAATAGCTCACGTAATTAAAGTCTAACAAGCCTGCAGATGAGCCATTAATGAAACAGCAGTTTTGCGATGCTCCACCAGTGCACTGTGATGGTGAAGCGCTTACAGCGCTGCCCCGCGCTGATTTATGGTGGAACTTGTTTGTGATACGGAGACGCAGCCGTGGTGCCTGCGCTAAATTAGCGTTTCCTGGCAGTCATTAAACAATGGGAATCGTAATTGGGATTTTTTGGGGGTTGGAAGCGGAGCAGTGGGCAAGGCCAGGTAGGCACAGCCCCAGGTCACGCATCGTGGTCCCCACTCATGCAGGACGCTGTGGGCTGCTCTTGTGTCTCCTTTCATCAGGTCTCTTTCTCCAGAGCAATCCCCAAAGCCGGTGGCCGTGTTTTGTGGTCCCTGGAGGTGTCTGGTCTCCATCACGGGACCGATGCGGCTCTCAAGCAGCTGTGCTGCAGCGAGGCGGCTGTGCGGGGTTATCCCATGAATAAATCAGTGCCTGGCTCTCTCTGGTGAATCGCTGCAACCGGCGCTGCTGGTGTTTGCCTTCCCTGGCTGCGCCCATCCCCACCAGATCTCTCAGCATCCACTGCCCCATGGCCGGCGATGTTCCCTGCACCAGTTTCTGCCCCATATCCCTGCACAGGGGCTGCCTGGGAGCCTTCGCCCACCATCGCCCGCCCCGTGCAGGCTGTGGACGGCTGGGCTGGGGTGATTCCCAGGGCTCCGGCAGAGCCATCCCCGTGGCAGCGCTCCAGACCCGTGGCACCATGAGTCTGTCTGCGATGGATTCGATAGTTTACTCTAGTAATACCAGACCAATTTATAAATCTGTCTGTCCCATTAGTTTTTATTTGATTTGGATGTTCGCATGTCAAAGCAGATGATTTCATTAGTGCCGAGCTGCAGGGAAGCTCTGTGTTCTCCCCCAGCCTGGTGCTCCCTCTTTGGCAGGTCGGGGGTGCGCAGGCAGGGCCCATCTCGGGGTGGGGTGGGTGTCACCCCGGTGGGTGCCAGCCCCGTGTCTCCAGGCAGCCCCTGCGCCTCCCTTCTCTGCCCAGGCTCGGTGCCCACTGCGGTGCTGGCAGTGCAGGAGCCAGGGTGTGCGGTGATGTGATCAGGGAGCAGAGACACCTCCTCATTCAGTAATTGCAGAAGGCGCCACTGTAATTTATTTGCTGTGAGTGTAGGAGTGGGGGGTGAGGCTGAGCAGGCTCCAGCAGAGACCATGGGGTGACATGGCCATGCCAGCGCTGGGGCCGGAGACAGGACCTCTGCACTTCCCACTGCAGGCTGAGCCTCAGCGCTTTCCTTACACTGATGATGGCCGTGCATGCAGGGCTGCCAGTGCCCCTGTCCTCTGTGTGGGGGGGTCCCCTGGGGCAGGGATGGACCCAGGAGACAACCATGGCCAAAGCCTGTGCCAGCAATGATGGAGG